ATGCTTCCAGTGTGAAACTGGGCTAGTTTCCAAAATGGCTTATTTCAACGAGCCTGTGCAAATGAGTATTTTCACTTTAACCCTCTCAGGCTCAAAATAAGTTTTGATAAAAGGACGAACAACAAAGTCCTTCAGGGGTACTTCTGAGTTAAAAAAAATGCTCATGAAATACGTATGTGGAGTAACCAGGTAGGTAGGTTTTAACGTTACAAATCTGCAACGCCTGCCTCCAGAGGGTTAAGTTGTAAAGTTATAATTAATGCATCCAAGATATGTAAATCTAACACTACCGAAGCAGGGTGTCCTTCATGTGTTTATACATTTTACTAGGGCTGCACGATATTAGGAAAGCATGCGATATGCGATAACAGTGATTAACCCTTTCATGCATGAAATATGTAATCTTCAACCATGATTTTTTAAAAACAATTTTTTTCATTCATCTTTAGGTGTGAATGAAACAAATATCATATTTACATATTTTTTTTGTAATAATTAATAATTTACAAATAATTTATTACATGTCCACCTCAGTGGACAGCGTGCATTCTGAACATGAAATAGGTTGGCTTGACTTACTGAAGTCCAAATAGAGGGGCTCAAATATAATAAAGTCTTCAACAGCTGTGCTTAATAGTAAAAATAAATAAATAACAATTTTGAGTACCTGTCCACTGTAGTGACCATTATGCATCAAAGGGTTAATATTTCGATGACGATATTACTTGCGATAAATAAAAACTTAACACAAAAACAAAAATAATCAAAAACTGAAAAGTAAAAAAATGACAACAAAAATTCTAAAAATGAGAAAAGAAAAAGATGTGAGGAAAGGGAAAAAGAAAATGAAGAAGAAAAGGCAATCAGCGGATCCCGGGAAAAGCAGAATCAGCAGAAAGAGCAGAACAAAGCTAACTCAGTTGTTTGCTAACCATCAAAATTAAGTGTCGTCCGCCTCAGGGGCGGACACCTAACCCACCCAGTTGGCCAAATGGGTGATGAGCTCTATTACATTTGTTAAAAAAATCATAATGCTTCTGTTTGATCGACAGAATGCATTATGTTTAGCAAACATTTGAGCTGACAAATCATTGTGATATTTCTTTACGATACACACATTGTGCATGCTGATATCGCGATAACGATATGTTTGCGATATATTTTGCAGCCCTACATTTTACTAATCCAGTTTACAGATTAAACTGACATGCTTGTTTTTGTCCTGAAGGAGAAATCAAGTGTACACGAAAGATACCCACATGTTCTACGGAAAACACGAAACCTCATGCAGAAAGGAAACAGCCAGGATTTGAACCTGCAACATTCTTGCTGCAAGGAAACAGTATTACCAACTGCACCACAATGACACAGTGACAGAGGACTCCAAAGCACTTCACATTACTGTCCATCCAACACACACACTTACACTAACATTTACACACACACACTCTAGTGGTGATGAGCTACAATGTGAGGTGAGGTTGCTGAGCACTCGCACCTTGGCCCCTCCGGCCACGACCAGCAAGAAAGGTGGGATAAGTGCCTTGCCCAAAGACACAACAGGAGCATTCTCTGGTAGGATTCAACAACCCTCTAGTTACTGGACAACCCACTCCACCTTCTGAGTTAATGCTGTACCAGTGTGTACAGCCTAGCTGACAATGTATGAGAGAAGAATGAAGATGACGTAGACAACACAGAAGAAATGTGTACACACACACACACACACACACACACACACACAGACACTTATATTGTATTAGTATTTTAGTATTTACAGTGAATGTGTCATAATCCTACAACCGGACAATGTGATGTAGCCTTTAGAAACACAAATGCAGCGTTAAACACACCAACGCACACACACACATACACACACATACCACAAGTGGCCAAACACACTTTTATCAGAGGGAAAATATTAGGATAACAAGAACTAAAGACACAAGGAAGCCAAATGCTGATGAATCACTTAGTATAAAAACATTACTTTTTGCATTATGACACAAAAACACACACTCTGAGGCTGAAACACACAGACCAAAGGAAATCTTGAACGCACCACCATGGCCATGAAGCTGTGGTGTGTGAAGCTGTGGTGTGTAAGATGTCTGAGGCTTTGAGTTTGTTTTTCCATACGTTGCAACTTTGTCCAAACATACAAACACAACCGGCCTAACAATTCCACCCTGCATGCCCCACCACTTGTGTATGTGTGTGAGCATGTGTGTGTGAGTATTGATGGCACCATAGAGACATGTTCAGTGGAACAGAGAACAAAGAGAAAGGCTCTTAATGAGCTCTGCCACTGCTGGGACCCAAACTAGGCCAGCCAACAGTGTGTGTGTGTGTGTGTGTGTGTGTGTGTGTGTGTGTGTGTGTGTGTGTGTGTGTGTGTGTGTGTGTGTGTGTGTGTGTGTGTGTGTGTGTGTGTGTGTGTGTGTGTGTGTGTGTGTGTGTGGGTAATGCTGACACACACATAAGCAGAGAGTAAGACCAGCACTGCATTGTGAACCAGTCACAGGCGCGAGCCAGGGGAATGGGAATGGTCCAGTTCCATCCTTGTTTGGTGGATTCAAGTTTCCTCAAACAGCTGATCTATCACTGCTGGAGCTCAGCGACCGGGCCACAGGGAAGACTTTTAGTTGACAAATAAACACTCTGCCTCAAACATTCAAATTACTGCTGTTTTACCTCTGTGAGAGAGTGGGGTATTACAGGATACTCTGTTCAAATGACTGGAAAAACATTTCACACCATCATGTGGTTTAGATTGCTGTCAGAGGGAAGGATGCAGGTGAAACTCAAAAAAACAGACAGGAATCCTAGACTTCTGACCAGAAAACAATAAGCACCTGAACTTCCTTATTGCCTGCAGGATATATTACCACTTATCTTTGGATTTATTTATTTTTGTTCAAATGGCACTGCGTTCTAAACCAGTTTCTCTCTTTTGTTCACTCTCTAGTCTGTTTAGTTTTCACACAGTAATTGGTTTTACTCTCTAGAAACAAACAAACGCCAGAAACAAACAAAGCAGACTATCCACAGAATTAGTATGCCACCTCCTCATCGGTCCGGTCCGGTCCAGGTTGGGTAGCATCGGTCCAGGTCCCGCACCAGCAGTATTTGTTCACACACACTTCTCAAGAACATGGAAATCTCTGAGCATGTGGGCGGGGCAAAAGACGTACGGAAAAGTCTGTAGTGTCTTCATTTAAGCAAATACTCTAAACAAAAAGGCTGTGTGTGAAGATATAAGAACCCATCCCATGATCCAAGCTTGATGTTTTTTTTTTCAGTCATTCTGTAGATTTGCTGCTGTGTTGGAAATCTTTGTTTTATTTAATGACTCAAGTCGTGTTTCCACTAAAGGAGCTCCGGAAATTTTCAGGGAGGTGGAAAATTGACAGGGGGATACAATGGCTCGGTCCTCTCAACTGTTGTGTCTCCTAATAAATTCGCTGCTAAAACGTCAGCATTTTACTGCTTCTGCAGTGAGTCATAATTATCATAATTGATCAGCGCCGAAAAGCGTCCACAGACTTTAATAACAGTAAAAGTTTAATTCTGTCGAAGTACTCCATAATCCATTTGGAGAACTGGGGGAGTGGCTGTGTGATGTAAAAAATGTGGCATTCAATGACCAGAAGAAATGTTGTTTTTTACATTGCCCTGTGAGACAACAAAGCCCCATGAACAACTTCCCTGTGGGGGATATCTGCTGCTTTTTCCGGAGTTGGGAGATTAGCTTAGCGGTTGTAGAGCAGCGTGCAAAGTGCATATTTTCTGTTGCTTCCCTTTTGCTTCACCAGCAACCTTTCCAGTTTTACAAATGCCAGTTGTTTGGGACATATGCCAATGTCATTTCCTACTGAGTTACAACCAATCAGCATGAGTTAACCACAAGTTCTGCTCTGTGACTCTACTGAGCTATTACAAGTGCCTGCCCCAGTTCAGGTACTCCATTGTAACCTGAAAAAGGACCAGAAAATTGTCTTATTTGGACTCAAAATTGGTAGGAAAGGGTCTGTTGTTCCTCCTTGGGGTTGTATTAACACACACCTGTATGCTCCAGACCAGCAGGACAACATTCCTGCTTTTCAGGTAGAGCTGACTGGACTTCTGAATTCCCATGGAAACATTTTCACACAACTTCTAAACTTTGTTTTCATTTTGTTGAATAACTAAAGACCTAACGGAATCAAGTTTTTATGGTTTATATTTTCTGATTACTTTTAGAACTTGCCTAAGACCAGAACCTTTTTTCAAATCTTGTTATAGATTTTTAATCTCAAGTTGTTTTTTTTTTCTGCAGAACGGTTTTAAAGACTGACAGACTGACTGAAAGATGTTATTTTGTTCTCGTTAAAACAACTTTAGAGTTGATAGTGTGACGAGTTGAACTCCTAACGCTGAGATTAAAGGAAAATGTTGACAAGAAAGTCGATGTAATGGTCAAGAATTAAGTCCAAAAGACAAAAATAAATGAATCTTAAGTAAACTTCATTCTCAACATTCTGACTTTGTTCACTTCCATTTCAGCTTTACAATCTTTCTCTCTTAAAACAGAGACACATCCTAAATAAATCTTCCTTGTCATTCTATTTTTGTCTGAGAGACCCTAAGAAAAAAGAAACAAGCACTCAGATCCTTTAACAGTGAAATTGTCAGAATCTCTGAGTGAATTCCTTCAGGTTGTATTTTACACTTGCACAAGCACTCCACAATACTAAGATGTAACCTCAGATGGAAAATCACTGCAGATTTATTTAAAACTAAAGTAAAAGCAAACAAAACATCGTGGCCCTTCTTTGCACTTCAGGTAAAACTCACCAGTTGCCCACACAATAATCAATATTGAATAACTTTGACCTCACATGTGAACCTCTCATCGAGAGAAATAACCAACTCATAGCTCAAAACACTGAAGAAGAAAAAGTCAACAGGCAGAAGGAGGCCTAGCTGCTGATACATCCCTCACCGTGTTGGGAGCTTACCTTCAGTCAGGCCCATGTGGATGCTCCAGTAGTTCTGCAGGCACTGCAGCTCCTTCTTCATGCCCCTCTTGCAGCGGCAGTCATACAGCGGTGAGTCCTGCAATACCTCCAGGGCACCCTGGCACTCCTTTGAGGCCAGCATAGTGCTGCGCTCCTTGTCCCCACCAGACAGACACTGTCTCATGATCCGGTAGCGAGAACTGCACTGGCTGTTCTGGTTGCACAGCTCTGAGGCTCGGACACAGTCCAGAGGTTCCTTCCAGTCTGGCGGCCCCAGCTCAGACTCACAAACACACACATCTGCAGAACAGAGAGGAACACACAAGCAGCAAAGTTACAAACTGCACCAAGACTGAGATGCAGTCATACTCATATTGCTAAAGGGCAGACATCCTGTTTTTCTTACCTGCTGAACTTTTCAGGTTTGCCATTTATAACAAAAGCTTAGGTATTTATGATGTCAAAAAAGTATTTCCCAAACTGGAATTAAACTTTGTTTTGAACTTTTTACATTCCTACATCTGCATGTTTGCCTGTTTCCTTATGTAAGCTGTCATGGAGTGAGAAACACAGGTTTGTGGTTGCCATGATGAGTTCAATGATCCACTGGGAACAGCTTTAACATTTCTGTTGTAGATTTCATTGTCACTTTTAAATTACACCCTAACTTAAATCTGTCATATAGTGGAAAAGTCATCAAGCGTCCTGCGTCTGAGACCAATCTTTCAGGATTCACAAGTGTAGCGTTATGAAGCTTATAATGGTCTGCCCTTAACAGCTGCCCCTTCACACAGTAACATCACCAAGGTCGGACGCTTGGTTCAGTATGTTTACATTCCAGGGGAAGAGAGAGAAGAAGAGAAGAAGAACGCTTTTCATTGATTAATTAAAGTACTTTATTTGTGATAAGCTAATCAAAGCATATGTTGATCATTAATAATCAGGTGAATGATCTGTGAAATAAAGATGTCATGAGTTATGTGTTTAAATGAATAAACAGGGCTGCACCAGACAGACTGATATACATTACCATGGAAACGCATGACACATTATTCTCAACCAATCAGAACTTTCGTCTGTGGTAGGGCAGAATCTGGGTTGTTTTATGAAAGTCGTCCAATCCGGTTTACTGAGATTTGTAAACAGTTAGGGGATATAAAATAAGGCAACGCCATTTTATGTTCAGTTCCACGTTAAGTTCCACGTTGACATCAGCTCTGTTCGATCCGAGCTCCAAAGGAGTTACATCATACTCTCAACATTGTTTTCAACCAGCTCTCAATCCATCACCGCAAAGAGGAATACAGGCTGGCCAGATGTACTTCCTATTTTAAGCTGAGAACTGTCAAGCTGGAGATTTCCGTCGTTTGTATCAACGAGACGACGTTCCTTCAAAATAAGAGTGAACTTCTTGACGCCTGCCGACTGCTACCTGAGTCGACCCTTCAGACGGGCGTTGTGTGCTGTGACCGCTGTTTCAACCAGCTCCAGTACTGCTGAAGGTCCGAGGACCTGGCAATTCCTGATCTAACACGGGAGGCTCCCCCTGGGTACGTAAATACGGCAAAATGGCGGCTCATGTCATCAGCTTCTGAAGCCTCGTGGTAGCCTAGTCATAACAACCAGATTCGCTACGTCAGCCTAGAGATTCTGAACAAAACACACACACACACACACACACACACCAACACGAAACATCCAAATCCATATGCATTCATCATTGAGATAGTCCTGGTAGATTGTAAGAATTTATAATTATAGAAATTAAAGATTTTTAAACGATCCCAACTCTCTCTCTTTTCTTGTCTCTCGGTCAATACAGAGTGTTTAAGTAAACTCCCTGATGATAAAAACGACCACTTCTGATTAATGACTTAGATCTAATTACAGTGTATAAATATACAACTTCAGATCATTACATTTGGCATTACACAAGACACTACCAGATTCAGTACTTTTAAGTTTTGTCATGCTCTTAGTTGTTGTCATGGTTTTAATCCTTTATGAAACAAATATGCGTCAGCAGAGACCGAAAAACAAGATTCTAAACTTTCCACTCTCAGTCCACAGGTGCCTTAAAAGCTGCATCTCTGGTGACTCAGAACTGAGACATGAGTTTTCAGAATAGTGTAATACTGTTTTCATCCCAACAAACAAATGCTTAAAATATAACTTTATTCAAAAATAACTGAAACTAGATTAAGTTATAAAAAGATGTATTAGTTCCCTTATGCATGATTACTTATTGATGTAATTTAGCAATAATCTAGAATCTTTAGAGGTTCATTTAAAAACTATGGGACTTGAAGCGGATTAGTCTGTCTTTGATTTTATTCTGTTTGTTTCAGGTCTGCTTGAGGCTCCCATGTATCATTAGAGATGTGTTCATGCTCTAATGCTTCAGATGCTGTGAGTGGGCTCCTGTGACCTTATAGATAAAGTAGACTCTGTGTGGTTTCCAGACTCGTGTTTTGACTCCTGGCTGATTGGACCTTTACAGTGATAGGACAGTCTGATGTGGTGTGGCTCAGGGTTGATTTTCTCATAGAGTTAAACCTCTTTCTTCAAAGAAGAGACAATGCATGGAGGTGAAATCCAATTAACTCAGCATCACAAGACAAGATAACAGCACTCTGCTGGCTTCAGTATGAACGTTTACTTCTTGACCTATCAGACAGAACCTTGGCCACAGCCACAATGTGTTTATGCAGAAGTGAAGTATGCACTTACCGCCTGAGCAGGTGTAGAAAATATGAACTTTCCTGTGACTGTGATTTGTTTCTGACCTGGAAAACAAGTCGTTCCGTTCTGGAACTTTTAAAGAATGGAAAAAACTCTAGAAGGGAATAAATTAGCTCTTTTATTTTATTTGTTTATTTTATTTTTTTTATTTTATTTTGTAGACTTCCATATAAATGAAATAACACGCACTGTCTTATCTCCTGAAAAAATGTGTTTTCTGTTTTCTGTATGTATTTATTTATTTTCTTTGTTTTTTTGGTGCATCATACAATTAAGTTCCTTTAAAGTCACAATTACTTGTTTCTGTCATCTTCCTTTACACCACGAGCTCCAATGTCTGACTTAGTCTTTTGGTTTGATAATTTTCCATTATAGCAAGCTACTGGTGGGTAATTGAACACAATTATCACACAGTGGTGTAACATGTGGGTAGCATCCAAACTAAATGGGCCAACATCCCTGATATTATTAGAGAAGAAAAAGATGTGAAACCTTTTTAGATGAAATTAGGCAGAAAGGCCACTTTTTTTTCTCAGTGTGACAGATTCTAAGAACACATGAATGCATTAATAAATGCCTTGTAATCATCTTCCTGTAACTGTCACAGGTAGCAAACATGCTCAACCACACCTAATTACTATTTAAAAGAGAAACTAGGTTGTTTTAGCTTGCTTTTAGCACCCCCAGGGTTCATTTGTAGAACCAAAACCAAAACCTATTTCCTCAATGTGCATTCATCATTTTAACCATCCCATACCATAGTTTATTTATATAGCATGTTTAAAACGCAGCATGGGAGCTGCCCAAAGTGCTGCACAGGCTAAAACAAAACACAACCAATCCAAGCAACTAAAACAGAAGATAGAATTACCAATCAACAGTAGATAAAACATGAGGAATACTAAGAACACATTAAAACAATAACACGAAGCTGATAAAAGCAAGACCTCACTACGGAGTTTATCTGTGAGGCCATTGAGAGTTCAGCATTCAGCTTTACCCCGAGACTTGTCACGCACTGTTTGGGGTTGAGGGTTAAAAAGGTCACAAACAGGGTGAGAGCAACGGTGGTAGTGGGGGTCAAAAACAATAGACTCAGTCTTCCTTTCATTCAACTTTAAGAAGTTGGATGCCAGTCAGCCCTTCACATCATCTAAACATGCAGCCAATCATGAGCCTGCATTCTTCTCATCCATTGCTACATATAATTGACAGTCATCGGTGTAAATGTGATAGCTCAGGCCATACTGATTCAGGATTTTGCCCAGAGGCAGAAACACCTTTAAGACCTAAAAGGAGAGGAGCCAGTTGAGATGGCTCGGGCATCTGATCAGGATGCCTCCTGGACACCTCTCTGGTGAGGTTTTCCGAGCACGTTCAACTGGGAGAAGCAATAAAGCAAGATCCAGGACACGCTGGAGGGACTATGTCTCTCGGCTGGCCAGCGAACACTTTGGGATCCCCCAGAAGAGCTTGCCCAAGTGACTGAGGAGAGGGAAGTCTGGCCTCTCAACTTAGGCTGTTGCCCCCACAACCCGATAAGCGGAAGAAAATGGATGAATGGATGGATGAAGGGAACACCTAAAAAGCATGTTTTTGGTCTGTAGAAGAAATCTAGACCACGAGGAACTCCACGCATGTAAGGGGATGTTTCTAGTTTTAATTTAACAAATAAAACAATTTGAAACAAAAAGTCAGCTTACAGAAGAGAAAACAGTGGAAGATAAACCATGCAGAACATTTTTAGCTCTGAGTGTTGTGTGCAGGTATGAGGCTTGCAGGCTGCGTGTATCATAGCAACCACTAACAGGTCCTAAGAGTCAGAATCCAGAACCAAACCAAAACCAAAGACTTCATGTTCCTGCATCCTACAGCAGCTTTCTTTTCTCTTTATTTTTAATACTTCGACATCTTTAACGTATGCTCATTCCAGGGCATCTGTAAACACAATGAAAACTCACATTAAACTAAAAGTAAATACAACGACAAACATTCCTCCACCTCATCATTTCTCTTTGTTCTCCAGGCAAAACCAAGCAGGCTCCCACACAGTCATCGATTGACCTCAGCAGATGAAAATACCTTTCAGAAAAAAAAAGAAAGTTTTCTGTTTCATCTATTTGCAGTTTAAAACACTGCACAGAAATCAACAGGCAGCAGGCCTAATTAACTCTGGAGAAACCAGCTGAAAAAAACCCGCTGCTAAATTCACCTTCAAGGATGGTGGAAAAGATCCAGTTATGCAAATTAAACTTTGGCTCATTGAAAAATTGATCAGCTGGGTTGTTTTAGTATTTCTCTATTAATTTATTGTGTTTGTTTATTTCAAATATATTCACTTTCACATTCTTTCAACACGTCTACGCAAGACAATGAAGTGTGAATGGATTCAGCCCTACCGTCCTTTATATGTATCTTACATTAAACATGTTCTTTTGTTTCAGAAGAAACAGATAATTCCCAAAAACAATTTCTTCCAGTTAACAAAAGCAAAGCCAAATAAATATTATCCAGAGTTTTACCCCAATAACAAAAGATATTTCAAATAAAGACAATAA